CCAGCAACACTTATAGGTGCTAACTAAGGTCACCCTAATTGGTTTCAAAGAGTTTGTTGCCAAGGAGCTGCAGGGAGGCATTTTACAAACAGAGCGGCTGGCGGCCAGGGCACCCGGATGGGCTCTTCCCAGGCCAAAGGCAGGGTCCAGCCACCTGCTCCCGCAGGCATATGCATGAGCACACGTGTGCAGTGACTGGGGAACAGAAAGGCCTCGTCACGCAGACAGGGCCAGGGTCTCGCCAACGCGCACAGGTGGGGCACTTGGACACTTGGGCGTGCGACACCCTCGCACTAATACACAGACAGGAATGGGCTCACCCCCATGTCCTCTGGCACTTGCCCGGGCACATGTGCCACGGAGTCAGCAGCACACTCACAAACATTCACCCGGCCGTGCACGCGCCTGTCGTGAGACCCACCTGGGGTCTGCACCCCCGTGACAGGCCGCTGGTTCACACACACTCCGAAATGATGCCCCAACACACGTAGCACTGTCGGTGCCCACTGCGTCATGGGGCACACTCACGGACCGCCAACCCCGCGGCTGTTACAGGTTCTCACCCCAGGTCTCAACCACCCTTCCTGCGGCATAGAAAGCCCCTAAGCCAGGCTGTCCCTCCCGGGGCGGGTTCCCTACGCAGCTCGGCACTGGCACTGGCACTGGCACTGGGTGGCGGGGGCTGCAGCGACCAGGAGAGGGTTTGCCAACTCCTGGACCGTGCACCATTTACTGCACTTGGCAGGACTTACCACAGGGATGCTGGGCTTACATGGAGCAGCCTCAGCACAGCCTATGTGGAAGTAAGTGGCAGGGCGGGACTGCACAGGGGCACACAAGTGCGAAGTTAGGGATCTGGCTGCCCTGCCTGCTGCCCCCCGAAAGCCTCAAGGGGACAGGGTCTGTGTGGCTCATGGAACCCTCAGCCCCTCAAGGCCTCCAGGCACAGTGAGCTGGCACCAGAGATGAATTTTACCCATGGCTGGCTGTGGGGGTGCCCGATGCTGCTCTAGGTGAGGTGCTGCAGCCCAGAACTCCCAGCGGGGAGCCGGGGAGCCGCGTCTTACACACCTCTCTGGAATGGGCAGGAGGGTGACGGGGGGACTTACAGCTGAGTGACATACGCCAGACAGCGCCTCCTGCCAGAGCGAAAGCACCTCGGAACGGCCTAAACATTGCAACGAGAATTCCCTTACTCAAAAGCCACAGCCGGCACGACAGTGGAGAGCAGATGTGGGACTCGATGTACACAAAATGAAGCGAGGTAATTAATGCAAATCAGCATGGACGCATGGAAACCAGATCTCGTCAAACTGGCCATTTTTTATGAGAGTTCAGGCTTGGTCAATAACGATAGTGGCGTCGACAGAAGAGAGTCCGACTCCTGTAAGGCATCTGACTTGATGTTGCAAGACGTTTTGATTCTAAACAAGAACCCTATAAAATTAGCACGGCGCACATTGAACGGGGGAAAACTCACGGCTAGGCCTCAGCAGGTAGCTGGACACGGGGAATCACAGCTGGGCAGCTCCGTTTCCAGGAGGAGCCCGCTCGGCCCTACGGGATCACGACTGGTCAGGCTTGTAGAGAACACAGCTAAGGGATCGGAGCAACACGGGCGCTTGGCAAACTGGGCCCAAGCAAACCAGGCAGGTTTTAATGCAGCTGAACGCAAATGTGTTAATGTAGGAACAAAGGCTGCAGGAGGAAGAGCAGGGCCTCCCCACCCCTTCAGTCCACGCAACCTGAGCTTCCAGTGCCCGGCTGTGGCCACAAAGGCGAATGCCACCCTGGGATCAGGCCCACAGGGAGAGGAGGGCAAAGGGGCAGTTCCCCTGGGACTCAGCAATTCAAAAGGCTGGGGATGCACCCCCCACCCCCACAGGCCCACATGCTGGGTGTGCGCCCCCACAGGCCCACAGTCCCACACGCTGGGTGTGCACCCCCACATGCCCACAGTCCCACACGCTGGGTGTGCACCCCCACATGCCCACAGTCCCACACGCTGGGTGTGCACCCCCACATGCCCACAGTCCCACACGCTGGGTGTGCACCCCCACATGCCCACAGTCCCACACGCTGGGTGTGCACCCCCACATGCCCACAGTCCCACACGCTGGGTGTGCACCCCCACATGCCCACAGTCCCACACGCTGGGTGTGCACCCCCACATGCCCACAGTCCCACACGCTGGGTGTGCGCCCCCACAGTCTCACACTGCCGGGTGTGCACCCCCATACGCCCATAGTCCCACACACTGGGTGTGCTCCCTCACACGCCCACAGCCCCACATGCTGGGTGTGCACCCCCACATGCCCACAGTCCCACATGCTGGGTGTGCCACTCCACACACGCATGCATCAGGAGTGCACCCTCACACAGGGTACACGGAGAGGGACACGGGCACACACCCACGTGCCAAGTGGACACGGGCAGCCAGATTGCAGGACAGTGCTGAGTGACGGCCCCACTTGTGCAGATGGGAAGGTTTCAGCCCCCCCAGAACGATGCACAAAGGCCTGGGGGCCCTGCCGCCGGAAGGACAGAGGGAGAAACGCTTGACTGGTGTTAGGACGGGCTTGCCCAGGGAGAAGGGCATTCTGGGAAGGAGAATTATATTCGCCCAGCTTCCTGAAGTAAACCATGCTCAGACTGTAGCATTGCTGCATGCGGGGGCCAGGCCCGAAGCCGGCCTAGGGCAGGGATCTGCATCGTGCTTCCAACCCACACCCGTGAGGACGGACCACGGACGTGCCTGTCTCCCCGAGCGCCGGCCGCGGAGCCGAGCTGCTCCGAGTCTGCGGCTCTGCCAGCTCGTCCAGTCCTAGCACAAAGAGCCTCCAGGGAGACCACCTGGGTGGAGGAGCCGCAGCTCCCATGGCCGCAGCCAGGACTGAGAGCACCCAGCCTGCAGCGAGGTTGGAGCCAGGGAGTTTGGGTCTGGAACCGCAGCAGCCGGCAGAGGGACCAGTGGATTCGCTCAAGTGCAGCTGGACCGGGCAAAGCTGCTTGGAGGGAGCCGGAGCCGGGGCCTGGCCTAGTGACAAGGGCCTGGAGCCCAGACGGCGCCGCTCCTAAGGATCAGCCACGGCCACGGCAGGGGAAGCTGGAACAGGCGTGCCAGGCTAACCTTGTACTGAGGCTCGGGCTGCACGGCCCTGGCTCTTCCTGACCAATGCCCAAAGTCATGGGGTCTCCTCCTGGCCCCGGCCCCTACCCGCCCTGCTGCAGGAGAGCTCCACAACACTGGGCCTGGTTCTGTTCCATCCCGCCAGCTCCTCTGGGCAGCGCTCACTGGCTGCCCCCAGCAGAGGTGGCTGCGCCCCAGGGTTCTCCACTCGGTGCCCCCTGTTCCCGGGGCCTCAGCCTCTGCCTCCCCCCCCGGTTCCTGGCTCCCCCTCCCTTGTGGGGCTTGAGCATCGCGGCAGCTGCCCACTGGCTGAGGGGGTGGGCCTTGGGCTGGGGGCGGGCCTAGCCCTGCCTGTCCCCGCTCGGCAAACGGGCGCCGGGAGCCGGACCTCGCATTAACTCTTGCCAGAGGGTTCGCTATTCCGGGGGCACGAGATGGGCAGCGGCGGGGCGGCTCACGGCTGGCTCCCCCGTCCCCAGGAGACACTAGTGGGGCAGCTCCAAGGGCTGAGCCAAGAGCCTCCCGCCAGCCTGAGCTGGACCGCCCAGGCCGTGCTGGGCTGCGAGGGACTCACCTCCCCCGAGGGCGGGTACGACAGCCCGACCCCGCCCAGCTCCCAGCTCCCTCGTGTGACCGCAGCCGAGAGCGAACGGGGCAAGGCTGCGGCGCAGAGCTTGGGGCTGGCCACACAGAGGAGCACGGAGCCAGCAGGTTTCTTCCGGAGCTCATTGCGCAGGACAGAGACAGCCCCACTTGACTGACTGTCCCAGGTTTCATTGGCAGAATTTGTCTATGAAGCAACAACATTGGCAACGAGCGCCTGGTGGGCTGCAGGAGCGGGGAGCCGGTGTGACAAACACAGACCCGTGAAACCTGCCAGGGCCAAGCCCTTCGGGCTGCTCGGTCACCTCCCCCAACGCCCCCACTGGCACCTCCTCGGCCAGTGCTCAGTGCTGCACCCCGAGCCAGCTGGAAAAGGCCAGTTGGGTTGGGGGGTTGCTGGAATATTTTTTTTTTTAAGTTTCACAATTTCTCACAAACCTTTTTTGCTTTGTTTTGTCCCCGAACAATTGAAATTGCCCCCAGTGTCAGCGTTCAGGCACCGGCTTTGTAACGACTGATGGGCTGGAAACCCAGACGTACTCCAAATGTTTATAGAAAACCAAACAGTTCCCCCCAGAGCGTCCCGGTTCTAATTTCTGGTTTTTCAGCAGCAAACTGGCAGCATTTTGGCCAAGCCCTGCCCCTCCCCCACGTCTGCCCGCGCTCGCTGAAACGCTGAGTTCTCGGCACCATGAGCGGCACTGGAATGGTCAGGCAGGAAAGGGACGGACAAGGGCAGAGGTGGAGGGGCGAAGGAAGCCGGCACAAAAGTCAACAGCTGGGAAGAGGAGAGCAGATCCTGGCGGCTGGGCAGTTTCACAGGGGGCGGGGAGGCAGGTCCAGCAGGCCTGAGTCTCCATGCAAAGGAGCGTAACCGGGCTGTGCTGAGCAGGTGGCTTGCGCACCCCGTGCACACACGATGAGGTGCGGCAGAAAGGAAGAACCAGGTCTGGCAGCGCTGTGGCCAGGGAAGCCACTAGAAGTGGGCGGGGCAGAAGGACCCAGAGAACACCCGGCGCGG